CCCTGAAAAGGGCCGTTGGGATAGGTTTGTATGCAAACGGCTGTTTTTGCGAGTTTAACCGCCGAAACCGTAAAGCGTGCGTCCTTGACGTTTCAATGCATATACGACATCCATCGCAGTGACCGTCTTCCGTTTCGCATGTTCGCAGTACGTGACGGCGTCACGGATGACGTTCTCCAAGAATATTTTCAGAACACCACGAGTTTCCTCGTAGATCAAGCCGCTGATTCGTTTCACGCCACCACGTCTGGCTAAACGCCGTATCGCCGGCTTTGTTATTCCTTGAATGTTGTCGCGCAGAACTTTGCGATGACGCTTCGCACCTCCCTTTCCAAGACCTTTTCCGCCTTTACCTCGACCACTCATATTTTCTTATCAAACGATGCACCGAATATATCGATCTTCGCTAAACAGCCACACACCACACAACACCCGTAACCTGTCGATTGCTGTTTATATAGCAAATAGAAACACGACCGCTGAGAAACCAGTTTCTAGCACGACCGCAACGAAACACAAAGATTTGCCTAACGCTGATTCGCTAGATATTTATTGCAACCAATCAGAGATGGGAAATTGACTTCTTTGTTGATGATTCATCAGCATCATTTGTCAAATCTTGGGCAAGATGGCGCGAAATCGATACGGCGGGAAATCCTCGTAGTAGATCGTGCCTGATGTGTTTGTCCTAATTAATGGTTACATAAACCAAGATAATACATGTGGCATTTGTTTATACGTCTTCTCGTGTATTGAGAGTCGTATTGAAAATACAGAAATAGTAGGAATTTATCAGCGCAATATGCGTTTGTAAGGCAGTAGCTGTGAGCGACTTTTCAGTCCGGTTTTCACAGATCTTTGATAGTGGTCTGTGGTTGGACGATTCAAATCTTCAGCCGGTTGTCACATTACATCGGAAAAGAGATTGCAAAAGTGCAAAATGGAAAGTGTTCAGTTAATTCGCCTTCCCGACATACGAATGGCGTTTTTTCATGATACGAAACGATTTGATAAAATGGGTAACCTTAACGTTTTACGATAATTTTATAACAAATGTAAATATTCGCGCAGTCATACAATTGGTTTCAAGCAATGGTCGGGTATCACTGGTTAACTTTCTTTCTCAGTACTGTATTCTTAGTTCTTCGATCTGCAAGTTTAGCACCACCGAAGAAACTCGTTAGTATAAATCTCTTGCGACGTGTAAGCTAATTATAGTCCATGATTTTGTGATACTGTTAAGGAAAAGTTGAGTACATGGTGCATATGCTTCACAGAGATCTGCTATATCTTCCACACGCGCTTGCGTTAGCGTTCTGAACCTTATTATCCGTCGTGATAGTTATACTATCCATAACAGATCGAAACAGCGCCCAGGACCCGACGGGATTATAAAAACCGACGTGAAACGCACTAAAATGTTCGTACTGTGTGCCATTTTGTACCTCTGGCCCTATGCATGTCGATACTCCGGCCCTCAAGTAAAGCTGTATCGCAGAACCGAAAGGTGGCGTTCATCTGGCAGTCCTCGATGATAACCGGTCAGTCACTATCGCCTCATCTTATACCAGATCTTTGCTAAAATCATCCAAGGGTATAGGGAACGGGCGATATCACTGAAACCGGCATAAAAGCATTTGTCCGAGTAACGAATTCGAAGCAACAATCACATTTACCGCGTGCATTACTGAAGCGTCAAGAATGGGTTCCGAACTAAATATCATTATCTCGCTCGATCTGTGGAAGGTCTTTGCTTCTGTGCCGTACACTAATGTCACCCGAGCTCTCTGATGGCAAAACATCACCAGTAGCTATATCCATCTGGTAGCGGACCTACATCGGGTTAGCCAACAACGCCAGAGCAGACATTGCGAGAGGGAAATCAGTGAAAAGACGACCCTATATCCCCTCTGTTTTTCAGACTGATCCCGCAGGAGTTATTTGACGACTACCCATCAGGGTGCCAACTTAACGACGTTCCAAAAATCCGTGCGACTGCCTTCGCTGACGAGCAGGTTTTGCTATCGGAATCATAGGCACGTATGGGTGAACTGTCGAAGGTGACCATTAACTTTCTCTCGGACATGTCTCTAAACCATAACGCT